ACCGAATTTGGTAGCTCTTCATCCTAGCATGCTACTGGCCAGATATAATCATCCTGGGCATTTTGGTTATTCAGAAGAAGTCGTTTAAAGATTTTGACATATTTGACTCCTGTGACCTTGAATGTAAGTCAAGGGCGTTCATTTTAACAAACGTTGTAGCCCTTTATCCAAGCATAATAATGGTTAAATATCAATATTCTGGGCCTCATGGTTATTCAGAAGAAGTCATTTAAAGATTTTAAACATATTCAATATAATTCAAGGTAGCCCTTCATCCTATAGCTAATATGCTACTGACTAAATGTCAACATCCTGGACATTATTGCTATTCAGTAGAAGTTGTTTAAAGGTTTAAAGGTTTTTTAAGACAATTGACCCTCTATGACCTTGAATATAAGTGAAGGTCATTCATTTGAACAAACTTGAATTGGTAGCCCTTCATCCAAGCATGCTACTGGTCAAATATCATCACCCTAGGCCTTTTGGTTATTAAGAAGAAGTTTTTTAAAGTAAAATATTGACGCCGGAGGACAGACGGACAATGGTCAACGGATGCCGTGCCATGGCATAAAAATGTTAATTATTTCGTTCATATTCTTAACAAATTGAAATCAAATGCTGATGAAATTTTATAAAGAAAAAAAAAAAATGTTCACGTAGAGCTATTGGAAGACATGTCTCCCAGCAAAAATATTAACAGAACATGGTTGATGACAAAAAGGATCTTCAGAAAATATCTGCATTTTTACTTTTGTGCCTGTGGCAAAAACAGAAATAACAAGCAAATTCGTGGAATTTATATCCCCCACTTGCAGGACATATTGTATGTTAGGTTTAAAAACTTGAGTATCATGCTTTTGAGACATAATATGTATAGCTTGAAACTTGAAGAAAAAAAAGCCCTATACCTCATTGATTATCTGTAAATATGCACAAATCACATTGGTTGGCAAACTTATCATGAGTTGGATGTGCATAAGGAATTTTGGTTGAAACATCTTAACAATATCTACAGCAACAAGTACTAAATGTAATGGGGGACCATTACAGATGTCCCACAAACTGCCCCCATAATCACAAAGATGCATCAGAAAAGGATCGCATTGCCATAGTACACCTACAATGTACATACTAAATTTGAGTGAAATTGAGCAATTTCTAAATTGCAACCAATCAGAATCATTTGATACGTCGGTAAACATTGATGTAGCACGTTTGTTTGTTTACATCCAATTTTGTCGGGGAAAAGCTGTAGTCACCGGAAGCGATTGTGATTGGCTGTGGCTCAATCCATCATATTTAGGCAAGATGACGATCGAATGCTTGAACGTCTCAATGATTTCAAGGGGCATATAGCGTGCTTTAGATGACGAGTTCTGATATGACATGTACTCAAGTGAGTTGAGAATGAATTGATTGACATTTGGATATATATACATTTTTCTTCATACCAAGATTTCTCTGTCATTTATTGGGTGATAGAAGTTTATTCTTGGTTAGCTAGTGATATATTTAACTGAATTATTTATTTTCTCTGTCATTTATCGGTGATAAAGGTTTGTTATTGGTTAGCTAGTGAAATATTTGATTGATTTATTTATTTTCTCTGTCATTTATAGGTGATAGAGGTTTGTTATTGGTTAGCTAATGATATATTTGATTGATTGATTTATTTTCTCTGTCATTTATCGGTGATAGAAGTTTGGTCTTGGTTAGCTAGTGATATATTTGACTGAATTATTTATATTCTGTCATTTATCGAGTGATAGAAGTTTGTTCTTGGTTAGCTAGCGATATATTTAACTGAATTATTTATTTTCTCTGTCATTTATCGGTGATGGAAGTTTGTTATTGGTTAGCTAGTGATATATTTAACTGAATTATTTATATTCTGTCATTTATCGAGTGATAGAAGTTTGTTCTTGGTTAGCTAGTGATATATTTAACTGAATTATTTATTTTCTCTGTCGTTTATCGGATGATAAGAAGTTTTTTCTTGGTTATTTAGCTAGAGAGATTTACCTTATCTATTCACACATGTATGCCACGCCGCCGATCATAATAATAAATTAAACATAACTCGATCATTTTTTCAAATATCGAGCTGAAATTTGGAATATATATCAATAAAAGTCTAACTTATAACATATCCTGTGATGTCGCTTACTTTCGCGAGTAATTTTAACGATATTATCTGGCGACGCTTTCTTCACTCTACATGAATATACACACATGTGCTACACCGCGATCGTAAAAAATTCAATTCATCATAACTCGGTCAATTTTTCAAACATCAAATTTGATGTATTTTTGTCATATTAACATCATATCTTCTGATGTCGCTTACTTTATTCAGTATTTTTGAAGATTTTGTCTGGCGACGCTTGTTGTCACTTGAAGACGCTTGTTGTCGGTTGAAGACGCTTTTAAGTGAGACCCCATTAGAGACACCAGACGTTTTTATTAGATTCTCAAATAGCTTTGTAAAATAATCTCTCTTACAACAATTGAGATATTTGAAATTTGTATTGTCAAATCAAATTCAAAGTACAAATAATCTCTTATTTTAATACTTACAGAAACATCTGTAAAAGTAACATATATACTGTTATGTTTGGTAAGGAGAGGGCTTATATATATAAATATAGGCTATGCCTGTTGCCCAATTCCTTTTGTACATAAGATGAGTACAATAAAATATTGTGAAATGAAATGAAATATTTATGACTTAAAGAAAAAAAAAATTAGGACGAAACAAACTTTTTTTGAACGGGATTTGGGGCGAAGCAACCCTCAGGGCGAACGGGATTTGGGGCGAAACAATCCTGTTACCGTTGTTCCCAAGCTAGCTATGCCCAAGCTAAGGGGAGATAACTCCAATTGAATTTTCGCGCCGCGCCAAAATTTCGTCACACTTTTATACCATCGGAAGAACGGTGATTTTATCGTGCTTGTCCATGTTATAGAAATGTTGCAGAAGCGACAATTTCCTTATAAAACCGAGTACATCCATCAAAATTATATACAAATGTTCAGTAATTATCCCTTAAAATAAGTATATATATATGCCAATCTGTCAAAACCGTTCTTGGTATGAAAAATGCTGTTGAAATCCCAAGGGGTAGTATAACGGTAAATCCAATATGGCGGACACCTCGCCTCGAAAACGTAAACAAATCCCACCTGTACCAGACAAAACTCGCTAGAAGGATATTGCATTAACGGTTGTTTACCTATCGTGTAAAGGTATCTGTTCTCTTTGTTTTCTGTATATATTTTAAACATTAAATGATGTATATTTGTATAAATTTCGGTACTATTTACTTGTTTCTAAATGATTAAACTTTTAAATTAAGTTACTGTCACTCAGTCTTGACTTAGTTTACATACGCTGATACAGTTAGAAATTGAATAGACCTAAATTTAAATTTATTTCGAGTTTCAGTGTTGTCTGACATACAAAAACTATACAATGGTTGGTCTGTACATAGTTTACATTAAACATATCTAATTGATATGACATGCTTTTGTTTTTCAATATCATTTTTTTTTTTTTATATAAATAAAACTTGTCAGATCATACACCATGTACAAATACAATTTTTTGTTTTTAAATATTATTTTAATGATTTATCTGACTAAAACATATCAGATCATGTGTAATTACAATGAGTATGCTTGAAGACAAGTACCCTTCAGACTCCTGGGTAAGCAAATGCCACAATAAAAGGAGGGGCTGGTATATACATTAAGTACCCCAACTGAGATCAACAATCAGAAGCAATACCAACAGGCCTACATTGTTCAAACTACTAAGTTGAAGAAGACCTTATTCATGCTGCACACTCCATCAAAAACAAAATTGATAACACAACTCAAGTAGTATTCCTGACTGATGCCCTCTCTGTGCTACAAGCTTTGACAAACGACAAGCTTAACCTCAACTTGAACAAGCTTTATACACCATCAAAAGTCTGACAACAGTTCTACAGTGGATTCCTTCTCACTGTGGAGTTTGGGGTAATGAACAAGCCGATAAATTAGCAAAGAATGGTGCTGAACAATAACAGGAAGAAAATCCAGTCTGCTACACAGAGATGAAGACTATCATCAAATCTCTGTTCAACACCCATCAGCAACAAGACAGTTACCACCAACAAGATCTGACCAAACTACCATCTTCCGACAGGACACAACAGACTCAATCAACATCTATACAAAGTCATGAAAGTTGTTTCATCTCCAATGTGTCCTTGTGGAGAAGCAGAGCAGGATACTGCACACCTCTTACAGTCATGGAAGATCCATCAGGCACTGATCATGAGAGATAAGATATGGCATTCACCAACAGTTAGTGAGTGAGTGAGTGAGTGTTAACGTTACCACTCAAAGAAAAGCTATGTGGACCAGTGGATGCCCTTAGCACAGAAGACCACCAGATTTGTTGAGGAGACTGGTATTCAAGTGTAAAGGCGAACGATAAGAAAGAAGATGTGTAATTACCACTGAGACTGGTGCATCAATATATATAATTAAATGAGATTATTAATGTCATTCATTGTGTTTTGTAAGGGGAGGTAGCTCTTTGTGAAGTAACATTTTAGCATCATCTCCGGAGTGAGGGATGATATTTAGGATGGAAATCTTTCATTTTACAATAGAATAGATTGGTTCTGAAATTGTGGTAAAAAAAGAGAAAACAAATTCTCCCATTTATACAATGTTTTTGACCTTGTACGCTTTTTTGATTGTTTTCAGGAAAATGCTAAAAAACAATTGTGAAATTTCACGATTTCAAAAAAATCGTAAAAATCCAATTTTGAAGATAACATGGTTCTGATTGCTGTTTTGTAATCAGGTTATGGTAGTCTCTAGGAAAATGACAAGAAATAAATCACTTTTGGTTTTAAAAAAAATAGTTGGGCATAGCTACCCAAGCTGATGAAAGGGCACAAGCACATTTGATAACATTTCTCAGTTGTTTACAGTACACGTCATACCTATCCGTCGGTATGGCACCTCTGTCGTCAACATCCTCTTGGAGAAGTCTCTCCTCTACTTCTTCATGATCCATACTAGCAGCAGTTTATCAAGTTAGTTTTGCTTGTAAAATGACAGAGAACGATTTCGCTTGCTGCATGTGTTTGATAAATCCTTTCACATTTTGTTCTTTCCTAAAACACCGACAAAGGCTAGTTCCATGAAACGTTTTCCTTAACACTGATCTTTAGCAGTTTCATGCTTCATAATACGCGCTTTTATCTAGATAACGATGTAAAATTATCTGCCAGGCTAAGTTTATCACGAGTTCTCGTTTATGACCGGAAGCAGTAATGTCACAGAAAACGTAGTCTCGTTCAAACAGACTCTTTTTGTCTGGGCGAATGTGGCACATTGCACCTGTGTAATTTGAGTCCGGCAAACGGCAGCTGTGAAAAACTAGCTTTGCACACAAACTGTTTCGTATTTTTCTACCGCAAGTGTAATTAACACCAATATAAAATATTATCAATAAGTTAAGTTGATATATTTAAATATTAATTATTATATTAACGCATATATTTTAAAAGATTGGTATTAGGAAGCACACATTACTATATACTAAAATGGCTGGAATAATCCCGAGTTATAAACTTTTCCGAACGAAACTCTAGTGTTCCGAAGAGCCATTGGGAACTTAGAGAAATGTCTGTGAAGTTGCTGGGTTTTATTATTCAAATGAACATTGGTTTTTGTTGGCCAAAAAGTAGAAGGGTCAGAAATAGATTTTATTGGTGAGAATCACTGTCATTTGTTAATCTGTTGCACGTCATTTTCAACATGAATGAGACAAATGAAAGTAGTTTGCTGAGGATTTATATGGTGAGGGTCCCGTAGCCGTAGGCCTAGTGCAGCTGTAATGATGCCAAACTCGGTTATTAAGAGCGCAGAATTATTGTCATAATCAGTCACCACATATTCAAATATAAAGTGAGATTTTAAAATTCATCTTGATTTATGTTATTTTCGTACACAGCCTCATTGAAGAATTCTAGTTTGGTTTGATTTAGTGGGGGGGGGGTATTTGTTCTATATTATTAATGAGGAAGTCTTGGTTTCTTTGACATGTGTCTACTGTTGTAAAGATTCAACATTTATCATTCACATCACTTGTTGTAAGCAAATTTTATTGATTTCTGCTGATTATCCTGTGTTATAAATTCCTGGTTTAAAGTTTGTGCTCATGTATTTTGTGAGTTAACAAGTAAAGTATATGTACAACTGTTCAGTGTTCCTCCAAACCAACTCTCTCTATATACCCTGTATACCACTCCTTATACCATGTATACCTGGACTCTCAATATACTCTGTACACCACTTCGTAGATACTGTGCATACTAATCCTTATATACTCTGTATACCATTCTCTTTACTCTGTATTCCACTCTATATATTTTCTGTATACTATTCTTTATGTGCCCTGTATACTACTATTTATAATCTGTATCAGTTCCTATGTAAAGACATTTCAATGATCTTTTATAGTAAACAGGAGGCAGGGTTAGGGCCTGTCTATGGGGCAAATTCTGATAACATAAGTGTATCCAAATCGTCATGTTCAGCAATTGTATATACATGTTTTAAACATAAACATGTATAGAATACCACAGACAGATTAAACACATGTATTCAGTATTATGGACAGATATTAAACTTGTATTTACTATCACACACATGTATAACATATGCAATTGCTACAACAGACATGTGTAACACATGTATATACTGTCGCAGACAGGTATTACACACGCATATATTACCACAGACAGGTATAACACATGTATATACTATCACGCACAGGTATTGCACATGTATACAATATCACAGACATGTATAACACAGACATGTATAACACAGTCATGTATAGTATTACACAGGTAATTGTTCTATATTATTAATGAGGAAGTCTTGGTTTCTTTGACATGTGGGTACTGAGGTAAAGATTCAACATTTATCATTCACATCACTTGTTGTAAGCAAATTTTATTGATTTCTGCTGATTATCCTGTGTTATAAATTCCTGGTTTAAAGTTTGCAGTGCTCATGTATTTTGTGAGTTAACAGGTAAAGTATATGTTCAACTGTTCAGTGTTCCTCCAAACCAACTCTCTCTATATACCCTGTATACCACTATATATATTTTCTGTATACCATTCTTTATGTGCCCTGTATACTACTATTTATAATCTGTATCAGTTCCTATGTAAAGACATTTCAATGATCTTTTATAGTAAACAGGAGGCAGGGTTAGGGCCTGTCTATGGGGCAAATTCTGATAACAAAAGTGTATCCAAATCATCATGTTCAGCAATTGTATATACATGTTTTAAACATAAACATGTATAGAATACCACAGACATATTAAACACATGTATTCAGTATTATGGACAGATATTAAACTTGTATTTTCTATCACACACATGTATAACATATGCAATTGCTACAACAGACATGTGTAACACATGTATATACTGTCGCAGACAGGTATTACACGCATATATTACCACAGACAGGTATAACACATGTATATAATACCACATACAGGTATAACACATGTATATACTATCACAGACAGGTATGACACATGTATATACTATCACAGACAGGTATAACACATGTATATACTATCACACACAGGAATTGCACATGTATACAATATCACAGACATGTATAACACAGTCATGTATAGTATTACACAGGTATTACACATGTATATACTATCACAGACAGGTATGACACATATATATACTATCACATACAGGTATAACACACATGTATATACTATCACACACAGGTATTGCACATGTACCAGGTATACAATATCAAAGACATGTATACATTTGATTTTAGTAAATTTGACCCTTTTTGGCCCTGCCCCTCAGGCCCCTGGGGGCTTGGGATTAACCGGCAACTATTTTTGTTGACCTTTGTCCATGGAAGGTCCCTGCAGAATTTCATTGAAATTGGTTCAGGGGTTTTGGAGAAGAAGTCGAAAATGTAAATTGTTTACGGACGCACGACCGACGACGACGGACAAAAGGCGATCGCAATAGGTCACTTCATAACCTGTCTGTAATAGTAAATACAGGTGTAATTATTGACACTGAAGATGGGTCTGAAACAATGTTAATACATATATGTAAGCAATGTTCATGATCTGTGAAATTTAGTACTTGTGTATTACCAATCTGAAACAATAAATTAATGTCCATAACCTAAAGTAAATTTGTTATTTTAAATTCTTGTGAATTGCATGGGTAATAATTGTGAAAATTGATGTAATTTGTCTGCGATAATATAAACATTTAATCCACATAAATTTATTGTTAAAAGAGTTTCCATAAGTAATTTTACAAGCATTGTTTTAAGTGTTTGAATTCAGGAACCCGCTATCAAAGGCATCTGATCGTTTTTGTAGGTGTAGTAATTCAATTTAATAAAATTACTGAAAATAAAAGAAAATCAGGGAAGACAAGACAGATCTAAACATTTTAATGACTAAACAGTAAGTTATACATGCAGGAATTATTTTCCTTCCATTGTGAATTACACATTAATAACCCTTTCTCCACCACTCACCCCTATATTCCGTCTTTGCGTATTGCAGAGTTATCTTCTCTTGGGAGCAGGTATTGATTGTTACGTCACTTGTTTGTGAGAGTAACGTCATCAATTTTTGAGAAAACGACGTAATTTTCTCGCACAAACCAATGACGGAACAATCAATCCCTGCTCCCAGGAGAAGATAACTCTGCAATACGTAAAGACGGAATACCTCCTATTTCTTTTTAAAATAATCATTATAATGTAAATCCCGCTACAAGTAGTCGTATATTTGTTGACACTGAAATTCTACTTTCACTTTCATATACTTCATTTCCGGTTACAAAAATACGCAACTCTGCGGCTTTCGATTAGGTGCTATACCATTCACAGCTCCCGTTTGCCTCTAAATCGAACGGATATCCGGAATTACTGGGCATGCGTAGTTCCTACCACGTGTGATAACATGGAGTTGTCTATGCCGTTTTCGGTGACACAAAACGGCGAGTATGCATTATATTCGAGCCCAGACGGAGTTTTGAAGTTATGGGAGACTGATACAGGTACCCTTAGACAGGAGTATACACCAAGCACACACCTGTCAGCAACGTGTACATGTCTGGCGTGGTGTCCAACGGGGTACAGGTTGGTAAGTATTCGCATACACAGGGACCTGAAAATTTGTTTCAGCTATATTTGGACTTAAACTAAGGTGTCCAGAGTAATTTCACATACTTTAAGGGTTTAGATCGACTTTCGGTAAAAATGCCAACCCCAATGATAATGTATAGATATGAGAAGGATGGAAAGCTCTCGATGTCAAAAAGTCGACCCCACTGTTACGGCACGATTTCTCACCCATCGTGCAATAATTGCTGCGTTCGCAACACGATTTCTCACCCCTGCAAGAGTTATCGTCCAAAACATATGGTTATAACTGACACATTTTCTCACCCGGCACGTTTTCTCACCCCCGCTTTAACTGGGGAATTGTCTGATGGTTTGTGTCTTAAAATTTGCCAACATTTTACCACGACATGTAAAAGACGAGCTGACTTGATGTCAAATTACTAGAAATTCAATGTTAAATATGCCTTATATTTATTGATAGCTCTATCTATGAATATAATTTTTTTACTTTCGAAATATGCAGCAGAAGTCTTCAAAAATCTTCACATATTCATTATGACGATGAAAAAGTAAATGAAAAAGACTCAATTCATACAATGCATGTGCGCAAAACTTCTCAAAACACATTCAAACGCAATCCGGTTCAACACATCTGCTAAAACTTCTTTTAAAGGCAGTACCTGTATCTGTTTATTTTTGAATCAGAAGAACTGATTTTGTTTGCATTCCACTGAGTATATTCTAAACAAAGAGATGTTTTCAAATGACAATTTGTGCGAGATATACTGTATATGAAAATAATATGTAAGTCATATCTAACACAAGACACAGTAAACAACAATTACTAGATTCCAATGGCCTAAGTTATAAAGTTACAAAGGACACAATTTTTCACACAACATGAACTTACAAAAGCAGATGTGAAATCATTGCTCTGGAAGGGTACATACATTTCTTTTTCCTATTATAAAGTATAACAATATCTAGTTGTAACAGGGACTGTCACATAAGGCACCCAAACTAACCCTGTTATTGCAAATTGTCCTAACATGTACATTTGAAGTTATTGACACTTCTCAACACTACAGTCAATAAAAATTACAACGCAGTAATTAGCTAACACTATATCTGTGATTACCCGTTAACAATAGCTCTACTAATTGAAATGATTTGCAGTCGCGATCGACGGACCGTGTTGTTGTTTTTTTCACTCACCAACACGTGGCGTGAATTACGAAGCCCTACTGCATTGTCATGACTACAGACTGATTTGACTAATAAGGGATTATAAAAATATGTTTATTCTAGAAGCGTGGACAATCAATACATCCTCTTCAAATCTTCTCCAAGGAAAAAAATAGTTAAAGCAGACTATTTTTACGATACTTCATTTAATAAATATTGAAATAATTAATTTACGAGGTTATTATCAATCACGTGTCTACGTAATGTTAGAAGCGAGATCAACATGAAAGTGAGCCGGAACAAAACCCATGCTTTACGCATAGGCGATTTGAAAAAAAACCAACAGAACTTACATGGAACGGAGCTTAAATTGAACAACTACATTTTCGTAATAGTATGGAGAAACGCACCGAGATGTCGAAACGTAACGTCGTAAATTGATCGGTGATTCTCTGGCATAGGAATTTGGCTAAACTTTCGTTGTTAACAGTTACCTATTTAATAATACTTTTCACATAAACTCAGATAACAACACATTATGTATCAACTGTATCTTTTATTAATGTTTGACATAAATAAATTTGTTGAGCGTCATTTGTCTTTATTAGAGTTCCATGTACCAAGGGAGATAATCCAAGATGGCGATCTCCCAGAATCGTCGATTTTTTCCTGAAAAAACTAAAATTTTCCATACCTGTGTATTTTACGCAACCCCCACTTTGGCTATTAAATTTCTTGAAAAAAAGTGTGCAAATTACATGGGTTTTTTGAAAAATCTACCGGGGCAGACAAGCGGACTCCCTGCATTGTGAAATCACCCAGAATTATTGGTTGTTCTGAAACGTCAATCACACCTCAGCACAGTAGCCCTCCTGTCATAATGGGTGGAGCTTACGTAATACACCACATCATGCGACTGATTGGATGGTGTGTATCGTCATCACCACCAAATTTTTCGTATTCATCTGATGGTGGGCTATTAAAATCACCCTGCGTCAGTGGTCCGTCGTCAGTCCTTAAACAATTCTTGTTATCAGTATTTCTCTATAGGGATCTTTCTCAAATTTTATCTTGGATTTTGATAGTGAAAGTTTGTTATCGCTATTACCCGGGAAGTACCTGAGAGATCTTTCTCAAATTTTATCTGTAGGTTCCCCTTAGTCCTAACCTGTGAAGGGCAACTTTTGAGACTGATCGGATAAACAACATGGCCGACAGGCAGCCATCTTGGAATTTGATAGTGAAAGTTTGATATCGCTATTACCCGGGAAGTACCTGAGAGATCTTTCTCAAATTTTATCTGTAGGTTCCCCTTAGTCCTAACCTGTGAAGGGCAACTTTTGAGACTGATCGGATAAACAACATGGACGACAGGCAGCCATCTTGGATTTTGATTGTGAAAGTTTGTTATCGCTATTTCTCAAAAAGTACTAGAGGGATCTTTCTCAGATTTTATATGTAGGTTCTCCCTGGTCCTTAGCTGTGCAGGGCAACTTTTAAGACTGATCGGATAAACAGCATGGCCGACAGGCAGCCATCTTGGAATTTGATAGTGAAAGTTTGATATCGCTATTACCCGGGAAGTACCCGAGAGATCTTTCTCAAATTTTATCTGTAGGTTCCCCTTGGTCCTAACCTGTGAAGGGCAACTTTTAAGACTGATCGGATAAACAACATGGCCGACAGGCAGCCATCTTGGAATTTGATAGTGAAAGTTTGATATCGCTATTACCCGGGAAGTACCCGAGAGATCTTTCTCAAATTTTATCTGTAGGTTCCCCTTGGTCCTAACCTGTGAAGGGCAACTCTTGAGACTGATCGGATAAACAACATGGCCGACAGGCAGCCATCTTGGATTTTGAAAGTGAAAGTTTGTTATCGGTATTTCTCAAGAAGTACCAGAAGGATCTTTCTCAAATTCTATCTGTAGGTTCCTCTTGGTCCTAAGCTATGCAGGGCAACGTTTAAGACTGATCGGATAAACAACATGGCCGAAGGGCAGCCATCTTGGATTTTGATAGTGAAAGTTTGTTATCGCTATTTCTCCAAAAGTACCAGAGGGATCTTTCTCAAATTTTATCTGTAGGTTCCCCTTGGTCCTTAGCTGTGCAGGGCAACGTTTGAGACTGATCGGATAAACAACATGGCCGACAGGCAGAAATCTTTGATTTTGATAGTGAACGTTTGTTATCGCTATTTCTCAAGTAGTACTAGAGTACTCAAATTTTATCTGTAGGTTCCCCTTGGTCCTTAGCTGTGCAGGGCAACTTTTGAGACTGATCGGATAAACAACATGGCCAACAGGCAGCAATCCTAGATTTTGATAGTGAAAGTTTGTTATCGCTATTTCTCAAATAGTACTAGAGGGATCTTTCTCAAATTTTATATGTAGGTTCCCCTTGGTCCTTAGCTGTTCAGGGCAACTTTTGATCAGATAAACAACATGGCCTACAGGCAGCAATCTTGGATTTTGATAGTGAAAGTTTGTTATCGCTATTTCCCGGAAAGTACCAGAGAGATCTTTCTCAAATTTTACATGTATGTTCCCCTTGGTCCTTAGCTGCACAGGGCAACTTTTCAAATTTTACGGATAAACAACATGGCCGACAGGCAGCCATCTTGGATTTTGATAGTGAAAGTTTGTTATCGCTATTTCCCGGAAAGTACCAGAGAGATCTTTCTCAAATTTTATATGTAGGTTCCCCTTGTTCCCTTGTTGTGCAGCAGTGCCTGAAATGGAAGGTCACTTGCTCGGCAATGGCGGTTAAAGTCTTGCTCGTTGCTCGAGTTACTTAAAGTTGTCAAAAGTGATGTAGTCACTGGCCCAACAAAAATAGTTTGAGGTACTGTTGAAAAATTAATGAATAAAAGAAATTATAGTCACTTCCACATTAACTGGTGGGGGGGGAGGGGTCAGTACATTTTTCAGTTGTCGTAACTTTGATTTATATTGAACTGTCCGTGATTTAGAAATTTGATGATTTTTTTTTTGATTTTCTATATAAATACTGCCAAGGGTGGGTTCTTTGAGGTGCAAGTTTTGTGTATTTCTTTTTGGGAAGACCTGATAGGAGTGGATCATGTCATGTTTTAACTAGGGTTGAAGAATTAAAAATATAATGTTTTATTCTGTCTTACATATTACAAACATTGTCATGTTATATGTAATTGAAATGTGCTGAAGCATTGTGTTAAACGCTGTGGAAATATTTCTTCCCAAAATTATTGGGTCCACCAATATGCCATTTGGGCCAGTGCTTGAAATTTTTTACTCGCCCAAATTTTTATTTGGGGCAAGCCAATGCAGGTTCCCCACTATCCTTTATTGTTCATGTTTACTTTTGAAACTGATCAGTTAAACAAAATGGCCTATCGACAGCATCTTCGATTTTTGACATTGAAGGTTTGTTAGTACTATTTCTCAGGAATAACTTGAGGGATGTTTCTCAAATTTGATATGTAGGTTCCCCTTGGTCCCTCGTTGTGCATGCATGTTATATTTTGAGACTGATCATAAAAACAAAATGGCCTAAGGAAGAACTAAACAGATCTTTCTCATATTGCAATGATCAATTCTATTTCTTTCTCATTAAGTACTGTACAAGTAAATATGTAAATACGCTTTCCGTCCATCATTGAGCGTAAACTTTTTACATTTTCAACTTCTTCTCAAGAACCAGAGGAGTGATTTTTTACAAACTAGGTACTACAGTCATTTTCTCTACATGGAAATAAAGATCATCAGGCGCTTTACTTAAATTGTAAATTTCAGGACCCCCGAGCTATCTGTTCATCCTTGGAGAGGGGTAAAAGTTTACTAAAGTTGATATAGGGAAATAACACGTTTGGGTATATTTTGACAACTTTCTGTAGGAAATTATTTTTACTTGGTGAGAATTATCCTTGGAGGAAGATGGTTTCAAATTGTAAAATTGAAATTCCTACCCCAACCCTAGGGGCCAGGGCGGGGCCCCAAAGGGAAAATTAACCAATATTCCAAAAATCTTCTTCTCCAGACTCAGAGGTACTACAGTCATTTTCTCTGCATGGAAAGAAAGATCATCAGGTGCTTTACTTAAATTGTAAATTTCAGGACCCCCGAGCTATCCGTTCTCCCTTGGGGAGGGGGTAAAGTTTACTAAAGTTTATATAGGGAAATAACACGTTTGGGTATATTTTGACAACTTTCTGTAGGAAATTATTTTTACTTGGTGAGAATTATCCTTGGAGGAAGATGGTTTCAAATTGTAAAATTAAAATTCCTACCCCAACCCTAGGGGCCAGGACGGGGCCCCAAAGGGAAAATTAACCAATATTCCAAAAATCTTCTTCTCCAGACTCAGAGGTACTACAGTCATTTTCTCTGCATGGAAAGAAAGATCATCAGGGCTTTACTTAAATTGTAAATTTCAGGATCCCCAAGCTATCTGTTCTCCCTTTGGTAGGGGGTAAATTTACTGTAGTTTATATAGGGAAATAACACTTTTGGGTATATTTTGACAACTTTCTGTAGGAAATTATTTTTACTTGGTGAGAATTATTCTTGGAGGAAGATGGTTTCAAATTGTGAAATTGAAATTCCTACCCCAACCCTAGGGACCAGGGTGAAACCACAAAGGAAAAATTAACCAATATTTCAAAAATCTTCTTCTCCAGACTCAGAGGTACTACAGTCATTTTCTCTGCATGGAAAGAAAATCATCAGCGGCTTTACTTATATTGTAAATTTCAGGACCCCCGAGCTTTCCGTTCTCCCTTGGGGTGGGGGTAAAGTTTACTATAGTTTATGTAGGGAAATAACAATTTTGGGTATATTTTATCCATTTTCAGCAGAAATTTACTCAAACTTAGTCAGAATCATCTTTGGTGAATGAGAGTATTACTTTGTAAAATTGGGATTCCTGGCCCATCCCCAGGGGCTGGCTAGGGCGGGGCCCCAAAGGGAACATTTACCAATATTTTCAAATTCTTATCCTTTGATGACATGACAAGTATTGTATTTCACTTAGTTTACATGCTGATTTCCACATCACATTTAAACAATAAAATAAAGCTACCAATACCTTTAATATAACTCAGGTGACCGCTAAGGCCCTTAGGCCTCTTGTTTAGTATAGTAGTGTCACCTTGCGCACATATTGAACAAATGATAACCGGTTTGACGGGTAATGCACTTTTTATACCCAGCGAGATCCATATTCGTTGCCAAGCAAGGACAAACTAAAATGTCAGCACTTCCTTAGAAACGATAGTCGGAAGAGATGGAGAAGATCTCAAAACTATATGTATTGGATATGGTCATAGAAAATGGAACTTTTACTCTCTACAAACACTTGTATGTGTATTAAAAAAGCTGCTTACTGTTCACATTTGTATGAAGTATAAACTATTATTACACTTTTATCTTTATTTTATAGGAAAAACAAAGGAAAAAGAAAAAGAGGAAATCTAAAGGTGATGCGGAAGAACTTTTTGAAGAAAAGTGTAAAGAATCTGAAAACCTGGTGGGCATAGGAACTACAGCTGGAAATATCTTGCTTTACAATACAAGACTTGGAGACATACAGACAAAACTGGTATGAGATTTTATTTGAATTTGTGTTGTGCATATACTTATCATAATAATTGGTGGTTATTCATTTACAGTGTTAACATTTGGGTTGTCCCCACACAGGGATCAATCAAGGCTTTAGGGGAATCTACCCTTATTAGCTCGCCTATTTGGAGAATAAGGGGGCTAATTTAGTCACCCCTGTGTTGGCGTCAGCGTCCCACCTTCTGAGGTTAAAGTTTTTGGGCAAGTTTTTTCCAGAGAGTGTTTGATCATCACACTCAATACACAGTTGTCTTTTATGAGGTTAAAGCATTTATATTGAGTGTAAGCAATGTGCTGGACCATATTTTCATATTTTAGGGGCCAAAACAGCTTACGATAAACCTTCGGTCAGTTCAAAAAGGCGAATAATTCGAACACACTTTTTGAATAATAAAAATAATATTTCTGTCTAGTGATAGTTCGAACCCTGCTTACAAATATTTTGGATTGATCGAATACACAATTTGAGTACTGAAATTACGTAATTATTAATCGAGGTTGGCTATCAGCGATGCAATAATAGCCACCTGAAACTCGCTTAAACTACTGGGTACTGTACATGTGTATGTGAATTGATATTGTAGTAAGGTTGTGATGATCACTTGTACTTGTAAAATATTTCTGTCCTGAATTATACACTGACCTAACATTTTACAGGATGGTGGCCATAATGATAGAGTGACTGGATTGAGTTGGCAACCTGATGGTAACAGTCTGTACAGCTGCTCCAATGACCACCATATCGTCCACTGGGATGTTCCCAATAATTCTGTGAAGCAGTAAGTTTAAATCCTTCTCAACAATAACAGTATTGTTGGTTTAAAGCTCACCTGGTCCAAAGGACCAAGGTGAGATTATGCCGTACCGCTGTGTCCTTCATCTGTCTGTCTTTTGTGTCTGACAACTTTTCCTTCCTTTAAAACGCTCCTTGTCCTGAACAGCTTTATGGATTTTGACTAAATTTGGCATGGAGCATCCTTGGGCAAAGGGGACGAATTTTGTAAAAATGGAGGGTGAAGCCTTTCTGTGGGCAAAGGGGCACGGCCTAGTAAGGGAATTTGAGGTAAAGCTTTAAAATCCTTCTCCTTCTGTACCATTGGAGGGATTTTAACAAAATTAGGTTTAGATCATCCTTTGGCAAAGGAGACTTAATTTGTATAAAATCAAGGGTGTGGCCCCCTCCTGTCTGTTCTGTATTATAAGCTCACCATGTCGGAAGGACCAAGGTGAGCTTATGCCATACCGTGGCGTCCCGTCGTCTGTCCGTCAACAATTTCTTTAAATGACTTCTTCTTAACCACTGATTGGAGTTTGACTGGAAGCATTCCTAGGTGGTGGGGATTCAAAATTGTACAAATGGTTGGGGCTGACCTCTCGGGGCTGAGATGCGGGTCCAAAAGGGGGCAATTTGGCTATATTGCTACAAACGATTTCTTCTGTAGAACTATGCACTGGATATCAATAATATTTAATCAAAAGCATTCAAGGGAGGCAGGGATTCAAAATTTTACAAGTGGTTTGGCTGACCCCCAAGGGGGCTTAGGGGCGGGCCAAAAAGGGTTATTTGGCTATTTTGCTTTAAGCGACTGTTGGGGATGAACATATTCGTGTCAAATTTCATCATTTTGCCTTGTCACAGCATTATATATGTTGTGCTGTTTGTAAGATTTAGAACATGTTTTAAAAATATATTGAAATAAAATCTTTTCACACATTTTGTTTTATTACATTCTCTCTTTTCCAAATACTAATTTCCATGCAGTATGTATGGTTTGAGTTTGTTGTGGCAAACTTTGCATCTTTCAATTATTTTGATTTGTACTGAAAACATTAAGTAATCGAGGGTCTCTTAAATACAGTTATTTGTATTCTTTTTCTAATGTTGAACACTATCTAGATAACAATGTTTGCTCTGGTTGTGAATGCCAAATCAAAAGTGCTACTAAATAAAATAATAATAATATACAGCATTTATATAGCGCCCTATATAATTTGTAAAATTACTCTAAGGCGCTTTACAACATATGGATAATAGTAATGGTTATAATTGTGAAAACAAACAACAAAGGCTTGCTATCACTTTCATACATTTAACAAGCAATGTGCACATAATTGAACAAATAAAAGGGTGGTATTTACATGAC